TTTAGAAGAAGACAAATAAGGATCGTGATAAAGTAGCAACATGTATGTAAACATATGGAAATTTTCAGAAATTCATTATAATGTGAAAATTGTAAATTTACATCTATATTCCATACGGATGTGCTACCGTGATGATGAAATAGGTAGAATCGCTAATTTTTAATTGTAGATTTCAAAGTGTAAATTGCTAATTTCAAATAGAAAATTGATAATTGGTAATAGCAAATTGTAAATTGATAATTATAAATCGCAAATAACAAACTGTAAATTGCTAATTCTAAATAGCAAATTAAAAATTGATAATAGCAAATTGTAAATTGCTGATTATAAATCGCTAATAACAAATTGTAAATTTTAAATTAAAAATTGAAAATTACTAATTGCAAATTACAAATTGTCAATTGCGAAATGTATAACGCAAATGACATATTTTTAATTGCTAATTGTAAATTGTAAATTACAAATTGTGAAGCGCAACAATTGTTAATAACAATTGTTAATTGTAAATCGCAATTTCTTCAATTATTATAAATTGCTAATAGTAATAGCAATTTGTAAGTCGATAATTTTTAATCGCAAATTACAAATTGTAAATTTAACATTATATAAATGGTAAATTACCAATTAGTAAACCGAAAATTGTAAATTGCAAATTGTAATCCGTAAATAGGTAATTGCTAATTACAATTCACAATTTGTAAATTTATGATTGTAAATCGCAAATTACAAGTTGTAAATTGTTAATTGCAAATCGAAAATTACCAACGAATAAATCGGAAAATGTTAACGGCAAATTGTAAATTTCTAACTGCAAATTACAAATTGAAAATCGTAATTTATAAATTGCTGATTGTAAATCGATATTTACAAATTGTAAATTTTTAATTGTACATTTGTATTGTAAAATACAAATTGTGTAATTGTTAATTGCTAATTGTAAATTTCAATTTGTAAATTGATGATTTTAAATCGCAAATTACAAATTTTAAATTGTAACTTGCTAACTGCAAATTACAAATTGTAATTCTCTAATTGTAAATCGAAATTTGTAAATTAATTAATGTAAATCGCAAATTACAGATTTTCAATTGCAAACTGCTATAATTGTAAATCGCAAATTACAAATAACAAATTGCTAATTGTATATCGTAAATTACAAATTGTAGATTTTAAATTAAAAATTGTAAATCGCAACTTGCTAACTGCAAATTACAAATTGTAATTCGCTAATTGTAAATCAAAAATTTGTAAATTAATGAATGTAAATCGCAAATTACAAATTTTCAATTGCAAACTGCTATAATTGTAAATCGCAAATTACAAATAACAAATTGCTAATTGTATATCATAAATTACAAATTGTAGATCTTAAATCAAAAATTGTAAATCGCAAATTGCAACCACAGTTTTTCTATAAAAAAACTGTGATATTATAAACTCAAATTACAAATTCAAAAATAGAAAATCCGTGTGAGATTGTAATTGGATAATTGTAAATAAGCGAAGTTGGGGATTTTAGATTTGGATTATATATATGTGTACGTGTCTTGGCAAATTAGGGTTAAGATGATTGGTATTCGGCAGCGCCAAGTTCGGTATGAAGTTCTGGTGTAATATGTAAGCGGAAAGTTGGTGTAATAGGCGGGGTATCGTAATAATAGCATTGCAAAATTATTTATGACCAAGGCGTGTTAAGCAAATAGGTAAAACAGCTGCCAAGTGACCAGGTTATTCGCGATCCAGTAACACCGGTGGTGGAAAAGCATTAACCACGACTCGTTGAAATAATTAATGAGCTCGTCACGCATTACCCTCAGGGTAATACGCTTCGTCTACAATTTCCCTTTTATTCAAACACACTTCAAATCGAAATTTCGCACTCCCACCCATTTGTCCTCATCTTTTAAATCAAATTTTTCCAGTTTAAAAAAAAACTAATGGGAAAAAATAATAATAATTGATTCAAAAACAAATTGTGTTTGTAAATCTGAATCAAGAACAATTTGTTTTTGGATTTATTTTTATTTTTTACATTTTTTTTAGTTTCTTTCTACTATTTTTTTACTCATTTTCTACTGCTTTTACTCTTTCTACTATTTTTACACTCTTTCTACTAGTTTTCTACTTTCTTTCTACTAGTTTTTCTTGTTTCTAATTTAATTATTTGTTTGATTAATTAATATTAAAGTATTATTTTAATATTAAAAGATATTTAAAAATTAGCGACCCACTTTTAGGATCGCTAATTTTAGGATTCGCTATAATCCCAACGCTGTCACCTAATTACAAAACTTTATAGTTTCGAAACTAAAAGGAAGCGGGAAAAATAGAATAAAATATTTATTTTAAAATCTTTTTGAAATTTTTCAATTTCTAAAAATTCTAACTGAGATTCTTCCAAAAATCAATTATTTCTTTGTTAAAATATTTTTTAAAATTAAATTCTTATAAATAATTTTAACAAGATTTCTTAAAATATTTTAACTCTTTCGAAGAGTTTTAATGAAATTTTTAAGAATAAAATTGCAATTTCAGTAAAATTCAATTTAAAATTAAATTAAAAATAATTGAAATTATGCGATATTTTTTATCATTTATGAAAATAATTAGATTCTTGGTGAAAAATTTTATAATACATTTTTTAAATAATATTAATATTCGGAAAATTTTATGAAAATTGTATTTTAAAATAAATAATTCAATTCTTGCAACAATTTAAATATTTATGAAAATAATTGAATTTTTGCAAAGAATTTTATTAATATTGAATTATTTATTAATATTGAATTAATATTGAATTACTGCGACAAATTTTATTATTTATAGGTAAGAATAATAAAATTGTTAAAAAATTTTTCAATGAATTTAAGTAAAATTTCATTGAAAATAATTCAATTCTTATGTAGACTTATATTAAAATTTTTTAAAATAATTGAATTTCCGCAAAAAGTTTATAAAAATTCTTTTAAATAATTAATTTTTTTTTTCTAATAAATTGAATGAAAATTGTATTATAAATACTTAAAACGTTTACTTTTTCTGTAAAAATTTTATAATTTATTTAAATAATTGAAATCGTTTGAAAAATTTTATTAAAATTGTAGATATTGAAAATAATTAAATTAGATGAGTGTAAATCAATTATTTTTAATTTTTAATTCAATTTTAATGAAATTCCTCAAAAAATGTAATTATTCTTAAAAATTTTATTAAAATTCAGCAAAGAAATTCAATTATTTTAAAAACTTTTGCTAAAATTTATTTATTACAATTTAAGTATTATTTTCAATACATTTTTAATTAAATTTCTTCAAAAAATTGAATTATTTTCATAAATAATGAAATTCTTGGTAACAAAAAATTTTTTTTTAAAATAATTTTCATAAAATTTTTGGTAGAAATTTAATTAATTTCAAAAATTTGTCAAAATTCAATTATTTTTAATGTCTACTATTTCACAAAAGAATTCAATTATTTAAAAAGATATTTTAATAAAATTTGTCTCAGGAATTCAATATTATTTTCACAAGTATTTTAATTCTTCGCAGAAATCCAATTATGTTAAAAAATTTACAAAAATTCTCATCAAAATTTCAATTATCTATATAAAAAATTAAAATCCTCTCCGAAATTCAATTATTTTTAAAAATTATAATAAAATTCTCGTCAAAATTTTAAATATCTTTATAAATAGTAAAACTCTACTCCGAAAATCAATTATTTTCAAAAGTAATAAAATTCTTCATAAAAATTCAATTATTTTCAAAAGTATTAAAATTCTTCATAAAAATTCAATTATGTTCAAAAATTGAAAAAAATTCTCGTCCAAATTTCAATTACCTTCATAAATAATAAAATTTTTCTCTAAAAATCAATTATTTTTGAAAATTTTAAAAAAATTCTCGTCAACATTTTAATTATCTTAATAAATAATAAAATTTTTCTCAAAAATTCAATTATTTTCAAAAAATAAAAAATATTTTTCTCCAAAATTAAATTATTTTTAAAAATGTTAATCTCGTCAACATTTCAATTTTCATTATAAATTATAAAATTCTACTCCGAAAATGAATTATTTTCAAAAGTAATAAAACTCTTCTCAAAAATTCAAATATTCTCAAAAATTGAAAAAAATTCTCATCCAAATTTCAATTATCTTCATAAATAATAAAATTCTTCTTTAAAATTCAATTATTTTTGAAAATTTTAACAAAATTTCAATTATCTTTATAAATATTATAATTTATTCTTTTCCGAAAATAAATTATTTTCAAAAATTTTAATAAAATTCTTATCAAAATTTCAATTATTTTCAAAAAATTTTTTCAATTAATTGATTTTTAATACCTACTATTTTAATAAAATTTTCCAAAAGAATTAAATTATTTAAGAAATTATTGATGAAATTCTTTTTATGAAAATTCTATTTTAAGAAGCATTTAATCAAAATTTCATAAAATAAAATTGTAAAAAAAAATTTGAAAATTCTCAAACAATTTTTTCAAAAATTATTTTTAAAAAATTGTTGATATTTTTGATTAATTTTCTTATTAAAAACCTGGAAAAATTTCGTTTTTTAAACTGGAAAATCTGGAAAAGTTAGGGAATTTGAAAAGAGCAAAATGATTTGTTTCTTATGTGCACAAGAACAAAAAGGACTATTTTGACAAATCTTGCCGACCCTTTAGATTAAAAAAAAACCGATTGAACTGAAAGTGACAAATGTCGCGCGTTCCCTAATTAAATACAAATGACAAACTCGAAAATGTCCATTAATAATGCAGAAATCAGTAGGTTGATCAGAATTTAGAATCAACTTGCGCCGCTAAATTCTGAGGGAATGTATAAAAGAAAAAAGAGAGAGAGGGAGATAAAAAGAAGGATAATTTACAACATAATAAAAAGTATTTTAAATACTGGTTTTATGCCTTAAGAGTTTTGACTCGTACAAATTACCTCGACGATTTTTAAATTAACGCAATAAATCTCCCTTGTTGCAGGTACTGTAAACGCGAACGGTGAAACGAAGCGACAGAGGACGTCGTACACGAGGTATCAGACCCTGGAGCTGGAAAAGGAGTTCCACTTCAACCGCTACCTGACGAGGAGAAGGCGCATCGAGATCGCACACGCCCTATGCCTCACCGAGAGGCAGATTAAAATCTGGTTCCAAAATCGGCGGATGAAGTGGAAGAAGGAGCACAAGATGGCGAGCATGAATATTGTACCATACCATATGTCGCCCTACGGTCATCCCTACCAATTTGCCCCGCATCCCGGTCAGTTTGCCCATTTGGCCACATAGGACGAGTTCTCGCCCGCCGAGCTCGGAGCACACGCTGTCCGGTTTCCTGGGATGTACGGCGAGCAGAATTTCTAAACTTCAAATATAACTTCTAAATCAAAAAGAAAAAAAAAAAAAATGTTTCGAAAAATAGAATTCCGTCTCTCGATTCTCATCATTTTTCATTTTGTCTCATACAATATTTATTTCTATCGCATACTTTTCTTTGAGAAACAAATATTTATCTCAAACATTTCAGTAAATCAAAAAAAAAAAAATAAATAAAATTCAGTAATTTTTATTAAAAAATAAATTTTTTTAGAAACAAGTCTTAAACTTAATCTTAATTTTTCAGTAATTTTAATTAACAATTTTAAAAAATTACTTAGTTCTAAAATTTATTTCCATCTCATCATTTTTTTACAAACTAAAATAAATGTTAAATATTTGTTCAGTAATTGTTAGCAAAAATTAAAATTACTGATTAAAAGACAAAAATTACTTATTTAAAAATTACAATCAGTGATTGAAAGTTAAAAATACATTAATAATTAAAAAATTAAAATTACCAACTGACTGAAAAATTAAAATTACTGATTAATACGTAAAAATACTTTAGTGCTTCAGAAACTAAAATTACCCACTAATTGAAAAATTAAAATTCCCTCAGTATTTAAAAAATTAAAATTACTGATTGAAAGACAAAAATTACTTATTTAAAAATTACAATCAGTGATTGAAAGGGAAAATTACATCAATAATTCAAAAATTAAAATTACCTACTGATCGCAAAATTAAAATTACTTTAGTATTTCAGAAATTAAAATTACCCACTAATTGAAAAATTTAAATTCCATCAGTATTTCAAAAATTAAAATTACTGATTGAAAGACAAAAATTACTTATTTAAAAATTACAATCAGTGATTGAAAGGGAAAATTACATTAATAATTCGAAAATTAAAATTACCTACTGACTGAAAAATTAAAATTACTGATTAAAACGTAAAATTACTTTAGTACTTCAGAAATTAAAATTACCTATTTATTGAGAAATTACAATTACTGATTAAAAATAAAAATTACGAATGAAACATTTGCAATTACTGCTTGAAGGTTAAAATTACATCAGTTTTTCTAAAATTGTTCAAAAATCAAAATAACTTACTGATTAAAAAATCAAAATTACTAATTGAAAATAAAACTTCTATTACAAAAATTTCTATTATTGAAATCGAAATAAAGGATTAAAAAATTACAATTACTGATTGGAAGTTGAAACTACATCAGTAATTCAAAAATTGAAAATACCTACTGATTTACAAATTAAAATTACTGATTAAAACATTAAAATTACCTACTGACTGAAAAAATAAAAATTACTGATTCAAAATAAAAATTACCGATGAAAAAATTGGAATTACGAATTGAAAATAAAAATTACTGATTAAAAATAAAAATTACATAACTATTTCAAAAATTAAAATTACCTATCAGTTAAGGAATTAAAATTACTGACTAAAAATAAAAGTTATTAATAAAAAATTTAAATTTACTGCTTGAAGGCTAAAATTACATCAGTTTTTCAACAATTAAAATTATCTACTGATTATAAAATTAAAATTACTAATTGAAAATAAAAACTTCTGTTACAAAAATTTCTATTATTGATTGTAAATCGAAATAAAGGATTAAAAAATTACAATTACTGATTGGAAGTTGAAACTACATCAGTAATTCAAAAAATAAAAATTACCTACTGACTGGAAAATTATAAATACTGATTCATAATAAAAATTAATCATTAAAATAAAAATTACTGTTCGAAAAATTTCAATTGTTGATTGAAAATTGAAATAACAAATTAAAAAATTACAAATACTGATCGAAAGTTCAAATAACATCATCAATTCAAAAATTAAAATTACCTACTGACTGGAAAATTAAAATTATTGATTAAAAAAAAATAACTAATAAAAAAATTAGAATTACTGATTAAAAAAAAATAATAACTTATGAAAAAATTAGAATTACTGATTGAAAATTAAAATTACTGATTAAAACATTAAAATTACCTACTGGTTGAAAAATTAAAATTGCTGATTGAAAACAAGTACTGATGAAAAAATTATAATTACTGATTGAAAATAAAAATTACTGCTGAAAAAATTGCAATTTCTAATTGAAAGTTAAAATTACAGATTAAAAAATAAAAAATTAATGATTAAAAAATAAAAATTACTGATTATAAAATAAAAAATCATCAAAACTAAGAATTAATTTTTAGATTCAAGAAAAATAACAGTTTTCTTTTAATCATTAATGTTTATTTTCGAAAAATCATCTTGTCTGTAAAAGAAATATTTAAGTAATTCATTTTTTTTTTTCAAAGTGTAACAACATTGTGTCTGAGTTCTGGCGAAATTTAAACATTTGCTGATAATGATTTGAACGAGAGACAGAGTACTCTTTCATATAGAAACTAGACAACATTTTGAAGTTGAAGTGAAGCCAAAAATTTCTGCAATAATGTGCCGTTGCATCTAAACTATCATAGACTGGACGCGCTCTGAGGGGCTCTCGTTTAAAGTGATTTCATTGAAAATTAGTGAAAAAAAAAAAATATTTTCATTATTAATCGCTGAGAGCCTTCCTCTGCGGGCGAGATAGCCGAATCTTTAGCATAAGTTTAGAAACTAGCTGATCTAAATTAAATAATTACGCTATTTCTAGCTGCACACTCTTTTATCGTTGAATTTTTGGATGAGCAATCTCATTTTTTTCCTTACAAAAATTTTTCATTTTCGATTTTGTTTCTTTAGAAACAATTATTTTCTATTTAGAAAAAAGAAATTAAAATCCGAGGTTAATATTAATTTTGTTTCTTAAAATTGAATTTCATTTTCAATTTTAATTTCAATTTACAACTTCAATTTTCGTTTTCCCTTTTATAAGTCCGTTTCCATGTAAATAAATAAATAAATAAAATATTTCCAATTTCACTTGTACAGAAAATCAAAGTGAAAAATAAAACTTAAAATCAGTCAAAGTATAAAAATTAGAGAATAAAATTTTTTCTTTTTGTCGCGAAATTATCAAAAAAAAAAAAAATAGTTTGCTCAACCTTGAGTCAAAAAAAAATCAAAGTACTTACTTTTCCAAGGAAAATATCTAACGAGTGTCTAATTTAATTCTTCAATTGCTCGAAAAAGGCAAAAAATAAAAAATAAACACGAGAGAAATGGACAAATCTTATCGGCTAGATATATCGAAAAAGATTTATATATATTATATATATTTAAATAATAAAAGAAAATGAATGAACTTCGATGAAATGCAATATTGATAAAAAAAAATAGAAACCTAGTTTCTGAAAAGAAAAAAAAATACGTCGTGTAATATCGCAGATTTTTTTTTTTAGAATATAAGATGCCTGCTAATGCTCAAAGTGTTCTTGGCCAAAATCGAACGTTCGGAAAGAGTTGGCATACTTTATTATGTATATTGTATATTGTATAATTAATTTAACGCGATACGCGAAGTGCCCAAAGACTTTTTATCTGTTTGATAAAAGAGCAGAGAATAATAAATCACAAAGATTCTTTTAAAATTGTAGGCGAAACAAAAGAAGAAATGTTATTTAAAAAATTGTATATTTTATAAAATGCAATTTATGTCATTGTGTTAAAAAAATTTTTTTTTTTAGTGTATTCTACGTGTTAAGAATTTTGATAAATATTGAAAAACTAATTTGCAACTCATTTATGTCAAAGTTAATCAATTAATAAAAATAATGGATTTATAGAACAATTAGTCTCCAAAATTCAATTAATTTCGAAAATTTTAATAAAATGCTTAGCGAAATTTCAATTATTTTCATAAACAATCAAATTCTTCTCCAAAAATCAATTATTTTTAAAATTCGTCTCAAAAATTCAATTATATTTAAAAAATTTAATAAAATTCTCTTCAAAATTTCAATCATCTTTATAAATAATAAAATTCGTCTGGAAAATTCAATTATTTTCGAAAATTTTAATAAAATTCTTAGCAAAGTTTTAACTATTTTTAAAAAAAATCAAATTTTTCTCCAAAATTCAATTATTTTTAAACATAATCAGAATTCTTCTCAGAAATTCAATTACATATGTTCAAAAATTTTAATAAAATTTTTTGCAAAATTTCAATTACTTTCATAAATAATCAAATCCTTCTCAAAAATTCAATTATTTTTAAAAATAATCAGAATTCTTCTCAAAAATTTAACTATGTTCAAAAATTTTTAAAAAATTCTCTTCAAAATTTCAATTATCTTTATAAATAGTAAAATTCTTCTCCAAAATTCAATTATTTTCGAAAATTTTAATAAAATTCTCTTCAAAATTTCAATTATCTTTATAAATATAGTAAAATTCTTCTCTAAAATTCAATTATTTTCAAAAATTTTAATAAAATTTTCTCTAAAATTTCAATTTTATAAGTAATAAAATTCTTAGCAAAATATCAATTCTTTTCAAAAATTTTATATAAAATTCTTAACAAAATTTCAATTATTTTTATAAATAATCAAATTCTTATCCAAAATTCAATTATTTTTAAAAATAATAAAAATTCTTCTCACAAATTCAATTATGTACAAAAATTTAAAAAAAAATCTCATGAAAATTTCAATTACTTTCATAAAGAATAATAAATTCTTCTACAACATTCAATTATTTTTAAAAAATTTAATAAAATCTTCGTCAACATTTCAATTATCTTTATAAATAAAAAAATTCTTCTCTGAAAATCAATTATTTTCAAAAAAAAAAAATTCTTGTCATAATAATTTCAATTATTTTTATAAATAATAAAATTCTTCTCCAAAATTCAATTATTTTCGAAAATTTTAATAAAATTCTCGTTAACATTTCTTTATAAATAAAATCTTTCAATTATCCTTATTAATAATAAAATTCTACTCCGAAATTCAATTATTTCCAAAAGTAATAAAATTAATTTTTCATAAAAATTCAATTATGGTCAAAAATTGAAAAAAAAATTCTTGTCCAAATTTCAATTATCTTCATAATTTTCTTTCTTTCTTAAAAATTCAATTATTTTTGAAAATTTTAACAAAATTTAAGTCAAATTTTCAATTATCTTTATAAATATTATAATTTATTCTTCTCCGACAATCAATTATTTTCTAAAATTTTCCTCAATTCATTGTTTTTCAATACCTACTATTTTAATACAATTTTCCAAAAGAATTAAATTATTTA